ATTTATGTATCATGAAAGGAATATTACCAATTTGTCTGATCCACACACTCTACTAAAAAACAATAATTATTATCAATACTAAAATATTCAATGTCAATATTGTTGCCATCACTATCATCACCTCGTTTATCATTAGTACGATACATAAGCCGACGAAATAATTTTCGACGGAATGAATTTTTGACAAAATGAACTTTTGACGGAATGAACTTTCGACGGGATAAACTTTTGACAAAATGAACTTTTGGCGAAATGAACTTTCGACGAAGTAAACGCGACCAATATTAAAAGGAAAATCTTGTCATCTCAACTGACCCTTTTAACTTTTAACTTTAACTCTCTAATTATTATCTTTACTGTTATCTTTACTATTATTTGTTTCAAAACACATATATTGATTGCTATCTTTATATTTTATAACTATCAAAAATATCACTATCATTATCGTCGTCATCAATTATTACCAAAAATGACTTCAATTTTTACTGCCTTCTGTTACATTTTGAATTGCAGTTCCTCGGGCAAGTCTATCAATGGAACCTCTACACACAGGAGCGATAAATGAAGTCAAATTTATAGAGACATCATTTTCAAAGGATTTCCCAACCCTGACAAGTATAAACAAAATAATTGGGAAAAGGAGATTTACCATTTTGAAATTGATGGCAAAAGTGCATCATTTCCTCTCCAAGATGCATTTACTTTGACAGTTCACAAAACCCAAGGTTTAACCTTACCACACATAACGCTAAATTTTGACGAAAACATGTTTGCAGAAGGTCAAGTATACGTTGCGATGAGCCGAGTCACTTCGCTAGATAAGTTGCACATCTTGGGATTTGACCATTCCCAGCTAAAAGTCTCTAGAGCAAGCCTTAGAAGAATATAAAAGATTGGGAGTTGTGAATAACAATGGGTTACAATTGTTGCAATCATTATAAATAATAACACCAACAACAATAATAACAAATGTTATAAATAATAATACTGACAACAGCAAAAATTGATAATGGTCTTCTATTTCCCTCCACCAAAGATCCATATGCTGGTTTTTCATAATTCAGCTGTTATTAATTATACTGTCTTTTGATTAGCTCTTATTTTTTAATGATCTTGATGATTGTGTAAAAAAAAACGTATTTATTAATTTATTAATAAAAATTTTGTAAATTTGAATTCGCCCAATGAAATTTAAGATGGGCATGAGACATTCTGTTGTCTGTGAAACGTGAACTTGATACGTTAGCTCACGTCAACCGATCCCTTCCCTTATAAAACTCGTTTTTATTTGTAATTATTTGTAATAAAATATCTGAAGAGAACTTTTTTCGCTTTAGTCATTTGATGATTTATCATGAATAATGCATTAATATTTTATTATCTCATCGATTGTATCATCGATTGTATCATTCATTTATCATAAATAATGCATTAATAATATATTATTATCTCATCAGTTATATCATCAAGAATTTAGATAACATTCTTCTGTATTTATTTATCTCATTTTTATATCATCATTTTTATGTCATCACTTATATCATTGGTTATCTAGTGTATTCCTATTAAATTTTATTATGTTCAGAAAAATGCATAATAAGATTGATTTTGCAACCTTCTAATGTTTGAGATAAAATAAATATTTTAAATCACATGAAATTCGATAAGTCAGTCACAGGGGTCCACCCCGACATGACCGACTTATCGAGTTTATATGTAGTAATAAACGATGATATTTAAAAAATTAAATGTCTTCGTGTTACTCAAAAATGAGAATTTCCAACAGAACTTATTTTCTTATCATAAAAATCATTTGAATAGTTGGGCAGATAAGGTTAGTTAATTGGTTTAATAAGTTTTTTGTCATACAAGATATCGACAGTTCTGTTAAGCGTGAGAAAAGCGTCCGCGGCAACTAATTCTGTCGGAAGCCAGCAATGGCAAGTCATAACTAAGAGATGGCCGGCTAGATCTCATTGCACAGAATCATTATAGGTTATGTTGAGCATTTAAGGCGTCCGCAGCAAACGTGTTCTGTCGGAAGCCAGTAATGGCAAGTCATAATAAATAGATGGCCGGCCTTGAGTGTGAGACGACCTATTTTTGTGGTTGCTTAATCGGTTTTATTCAACTAAATACTCGTGACTTTTTTATTTCATTTTTATAAGTTATATTGAAAGAAACCGAGAACTTCTATGAAGGAGACAGACGTGAAGTGGATGTTAACCTGCCCTGATCCAAGTTCTCTTGCCTTTTTTAGATTTAGTTTTCCAACACATCGGGCTCGGGCTTTTGATACTTATTAAAGATGGCTCCTCAATTAATTGCAACTAATTGCAGCATATAAAAATTGAATTGCGACTAATTGCGGTTTCCATCTTTAATACTTATGGCAAAGTCCTTGAATTAGCATTGAAACAATGTAATGGTAAAGATAAAGTGGTTCAAAAAAGACTTTTAAAAATGCAGAAAAAATTTAATGTATGTAATTTAATATGTTTTTACTCTAGTGCTTTATATATCAAATTATGAGGTAGTATTACTAAACTGTTCTTTCCGCTAAGTAGCTTGAGATTCAAAATGAATGGAAAATATGGTTAACTGAAAGGAGAGCGGTATGTCCATCACATGCTTTTAACATATAACTTTGTGATTACAATACTTATTTATATTCATGTTCTATAGATTCAAGTGAACCGTTCAATTACAAAAACGAATATGAACGTACATAATGATTTTAATTTACATGTGGAGCACAAAGTTAGTCATATTTTCAAATTTTAATTTTAATTCGAAGTCTCAAAGTCATGCTAAAGGAAATCTCTATTACGGGTAAACTGCCAAAAACAGTTGAAATTACTATAAACAACATTGATTACAATTATGAAAATAATGGTGAAGAGGACAACAAGAAAGGCTTTGATGGAAATACTTTTATGGCTTCACCAGTTGCTGTACTTTCCAACACGAATGTTTGTGCACTGAAAAATGATAACGATGAAATACTAGAATGGCTCGAGTCGAATAAAGAAAAACTTGTTTCATTTGTTGCTGCAAAAGAAAACCTTGACATATACTGGAACAGCCCGAGAGGATACTGCATTGTGCAGTGTAACATAAAAAAGCCGCAGGGCCATAATTTTAGACTATTTACTATTTATTTACGAAATCCGTAAAAATGATGTAATTTTGTTCCATACTATTTTTAATTTTTCTTCTTTTTGTTCTTTTCATATAACTGCTTCTGTTTGAGTAAAATGTTATCTTTACTCAATAATAAAGGCATTGATATAATAAAGATATTTCAACATTTCATTTGTTTCTTTATTTTCGCATTTTTCATCTCAGAGTTGTCCATTTTTTTTCCTAGCATTAATGATTCAGTGAAAAAGAAATAATGAAATCCGACAAGCTAAAACATTCAAAGCATTATATCAACTACGCGTGGAAAATTTGGAAGCTCACTCAAAAAGTTTAGAAGATAAAGTAAAACTAATAGAAGCTCGCTCAAAAAAATTGGCAAAACTGATGGAAGTGAACTCGGAGATAAGGTGAAAACTGGCAGGGCAACGTATGGTGAGTTTGCTTGAAATTATTTTTTCATCAAGGAGTTTTCATTCACCGTCATTTTTGTCTTGGCACAATTAGAAATTTTAAAATTAAAAAGTACCAACCAATAAAAGCTTTATAATCTTAATGTAGTAATTTAATATTAAATATGCAGAGTACAATGTTTATTACAATTACCAATCTTGTACAAAATTAATTGAGTCAATTTAAAATAACATCTTTTTTACCTTCCTTTTTATCTTTTGAATTCTTTGGAATTTTTTGAAATCAAAAAAATCAAAATGACATTCCATGAAAGTTTACCACTTTCATTTGGCAAAAAACAAATTCCACCAATACGGTCACAATTTCATTTAGATTTACTGCTAAAATTTTTATTAATTTTAGTGATAGTATTTGTAACTTTAATGGGATTTTCATCCATAATGTTTGCATTTCCCAATGAACATAATAATACCATTCAAAAGACTGTATATAATTCAAATTCAAAAAATTCCACTCTTTTAGAAAATAATGTTTTATTTTTTATAGATGATGATTTAACTGCGACAAAATTCAAACCTATTTTTTGTCAATTATCAAAAAACCGAAACATGAACGTTCATGTTATAACTTTGTCAAAAAATTTTAATGTTTATAATGAAATTATTCATAAAAGGTCAAAAAGATGTAATGTGATATTACACGATTTAGATGATTATAGAGGTTCTTTTGAGGAGAAAATGGATTCTTTGTCATTAGTATTTCAAGGAATAAATAATATTTTAAACAAAATTCACCCTGATGTTTTCATTTATTCTAAAAATTTGGAAAGTTGGGTTATAAGAGGTGTTGATGCTGCTTTATCTGCCAATTCTGATTTGTTGAAATTCACCACCATTAAGATTCCTTTAGATGAAGTTGATCATTTAACCTGGATAGCTGATTTATCAATCGAATCACTTAAAAGTAAGTTTTACACGCACGCACGCACAAAAATAAATAATACATCCATATAAATATAAATAAATTAATATATATATTGATTATTATTTTAGATTGGAATATACCAAAGTTTCGTATGCAAGTGATTACACAAGATAGACCAGACTCATTGTCTAGATTAATTAGATCCTTAAAATCATCATATTTTTTGGGTGATGATATTTCACTCACAATTAATATGGATCGTGGTGCAGATCCCGTGACCATCGAATATTGTCGAACATTGGAATGGAAGTTTGGTCAAAAGAATCTTCGTCACCGAGTTGTTCAAGGCGGATTGATGGCAGCAATTGTAGAATCATATTATCCTATTGATGACAATGATTATGCTGTATTATTAGAGGATGATATTGAACTTTCACCTTACTTTTATATCTGGTCTAAATACAATGTATTAAAATATCGTTATGGAGCTGAACGTAGTTCGAGTGGTCGTTTATTTGGAGTTAGTTTATATAATGGTAGAGTTAATGAATTATTTATACCCGGTAGAAAGGCTTTTGATCCTCAACAAATATTAGAGGGTACAAATTATCCACTACAAACACCATATCTTTCACAAATTCCTTGTAGTTGGGGAGCTGTTTATTTTCCCGAAATTTGGCGCGAATTCCACGATTATTTTACATCTCGTCTTCATGACGTTAATGGTCTGGGTGTTCAAAACATCTCTATTCCTGAAACAAGATCTAATGGATGGAACAATTCTTGGAAAAGATTTTTTATAGAACTTGCATATTTACGAGGTTACGTAATGATTTATCCAAATTATGAAAATTTTGTCAGCTTTTCAACAAATCATGCTGAAATGGGAACCCATATTCATCTGGATCAGGGTGAATCATATCCAACTGGTGTTTTTGATATGCCTTTGATGGATGAGGATAATATATTAACCGGTTTACCTGATCACAAACTACCCAATTACTCGGATCTGCCTTCCATGGATTTAACAGGAAATTTGGTTACGAACGAAGAATTAGTTCAACGTGGTCTTTCATTACATTTGGAAGTTTCAAAATGTCCACCAAATGAAGAACTCATATATATTCCATATGACATGTTATGCTTGGATGAGGAGGCAAAACAAAATGCTACTGATAGGTTGTTAGAGATAAAAAGTAAAAAGGATAAAATAAGCGCTGCTGTAAGATTAATTTATAGTAGCAACATAACTGATGTAATTAATCTTGAACCAAGTGATATCTATGTTGCCGCTAGTGAATATTTAAAAAAAAAAAAAACATTTTCTGATACCTCTGATACCTCTGATACTTCTGATACAGATCAAGCTATAATTAATTTAGATCTACAAAATGTAAATAATACTAAATTATCAATTATTTAATCCTTAATAAAAAAAAATTAATAACATATAATAAACTTTGTTTATTACTTATTTTACATTATCTACAAATTTTCAATTAAAAAAATTTATAAATATCTTTTTAATTACATTGTTAATATATTAGTTGATATTTTTGTATTTTATAAATTTTTTTTATTTTCTATAAATTATTGTTATAATAATAACGATTATATTTTTATTAGACTATTAGATTACTATTAGATTATGATTATTAAAAAAATAAATAATTAATGTTTTTATTTCCTAAAAAATTATATATAAAGAATAAATAAAAAATAATACCAAAGTTTTTTTAATATAAAAAAAAAAGAATTAAAAATATTTTATTCTATAATAAATCTATGTTAATATAAAATAAATAAATAATTTATTCATTTATTTAAATATATGCTATTTATATCAAAAATTACCAAAAAATCATTCCCTATGTATATATTCCCTTACTATACACATATTAAGAAAATAACTATAAATATAAATTTATTATTAATTGCTTTTTTCTATTTTTTTTTTTTTTTCATAGAAAGTTGAGAAAGTGATCTCATCAATGATGATTTTGAGATACAACAATCTTTCTCTTAATTTGATTTAGTTTGTGAGTATGTATGTATATATATGAATGTATGTATGTATGAATGTACATATATATATATATATATATATATGAATGTATGTATGGTATATAAATAATTTGTTTTTGAATTGTTCAAAATAAATAATAATAATATATAACAAATTATCTGATCAATGAGCTGCAGCTTTCAGTTGTGTAGCCTTTACTGGTTTACCATATAGATAAGTTGAAATCATAACGATAATTGCGCCAATTGTAAATTGTGCATCTGGATGAAAATCAAAGAAATAAAAACTAAAGATTCCAGATATTATAATAGATAATGAGGTTGCAAAGCCTTTAAGGATATTATCGGCGTATTTTACAACTATGGCTACAAGAAGACCACCTAATGCTTGATTTGCCACTACCATATATGTTAAGGAATTATAGCCTTGTAAGAAACCACCTTCCCTGATTTCCCCAAAATCATAAAATATCATTCCAATAAGAGAGAATAAAGCACCAGTGATTGCAAGTTGGATATTTCTAACCCACATACTAGTTTCAGAAGTTTTTAAAATTTTTTCAAAGTAGCAACCGGCAAATCCTGATGATACACATGAAGTGATAACAGCAATTAAACCGATTATTGGATTTTGAGCAGCCAAAAGTATTTGAGCAGGTGAAGGAGGCGTTGAATCTTTTTCAATATCAGTATTATTCATTGATTGTTGATCAATTTCGGTTAAGCTGGTGTGAGCACCAGCAACAACTTTTGGAGAAACTTTGACCGTACTAACTGTTTGTAATTGTACCAGAGTAACACCAATCATCAAAAGTACAAGAGCAAACCATTTACCTCTACTCAATGATCTGTGTAGAAGCACAACAGAAAATATAGCAGTGGAAAGAATTTTCATTTGATAAGTTACTTGAAAAGTTGCGGCCTCAAGATTAGATAATGCTATGTATAATAAGTTGTTCTGTAATGCATAAAGTGCTGAAGGTATAAACATTTTTATAGTTTCATGAGGTTGTCCTAGAATTTCTTTTCTTACCACATAAAGAAACCTACTAAAAGATTTCTTTTGATACAAAATTACAGCAAGACATGCTATAATTTTTACAACCTCAGCAAGATATACAGCAGTCGACACTATATACATGTTTTCCCCAGGGTTTTGACGAATTCGTGAACATCGCATCATCAATACCAATGAAGCATTTTGAATAACAAGTATAAGTAGCGATAATTGTTTCCGCGTGAGACCAAGTATTCTAGGCTCTGAATAAATTAGAGTATCAAATAGTAGTATTAATAATATTATTAATAATAATCGAAATAAATAACATCTAAATTTTAAACGTAATTTTATAATATATATATATATGTATATTTGAGAAAATTTAACATTAAAGTGTGCAAGTTTCTTTCAATCTCTTTCAACAAGATTTCAACAATAACAATTAAACATCGCAATCTACATATTTAAACATATGTAACAATTTATTTTTTAATTACCTCGTGGTATGATCTTGGAAGTATGATTCAAAGGTAGAGTTTCTTTTTCATTTAATTGTAAAGATCTACGCATTTTTTTTTTTTTTTTTAATGAAAGATTACTAATTAAAAAAGTTAAAAATAGTTTTCAGTAAAGATGATGCTTTTACTACATGTGCGTTCCCATATTTATACAATTTTTAATTAGATTGTTTATCGTTTTCTTTTTTATTATAACTTGTGTAATTAGTATTTAATGTGTTGCATGCATAATGCATAATGCATATATGCATTTGTTGACTAGAAGAGAATCGATTACCGATCATCAAAACATTACGACCAACTTTTGAACTTAATTGGCTGCTTATAAGCCTACCGCTTGAGAATCCCTACTTTTCATAGAGGCAGACAGCTTAAAAATATAGTTCATGGCTTGTTGGTAGATTAAAATTATATTTATTGGATTAACACGACTATGCTAGATTTAATAACATTAAAAGAAAAAACTTTTCACTGTTAATGTTTTCAAGAATATAAAAGCTGTAAATGGTTATTAATCATCATTGTAGATAGATTTGTGACAGACATTTGTAAGAATGTTCAATTAAAGCACAAAAACAGATTTATCAGATGATTTAAAAAAAGACAATTTTAATTCATTCAAAATTTAAAGCCACTAATATATATGGATAATAATTATTACTCATCAACTATACTTATCAGAATTACCAGAAAACATAAACATTTTGATATTATGGTAATCCAAATGATATTGAATATTTAAAAGAACTGAACGTCGAGCTTTTTGATATTCTACAGAGATGAAGCTAGCATATTTACATCGTGTTTAACGAACTTCAATCTATTGGCTGTTTTAATCAAAAATCTAAAGCCTATAACTTTTACAATGAATGTATGTACACAAATAATATATTTTATTAGTAAAACATCTCAAGGTTTAGGATAAAATCAAAAGTAGAACACAAATAAAAAAGTTATTTTTTTATTGGACTTAATTGGAAAATGTGACCCAATAAGATAATCATTTATTATTACCAAACTTGAAATTTAGAAGAATTGTGTTTGTTAGCGAAAAGTATGTTCTCTTTTTATTTTTATGTAACCACAAGTCTTATCTTTATAACATAGCATAGTATCTTAACGGTTAAGCTACTCTCCAAAGTAATAAAATATACATTCTAACGGCAATAGTAACACTCACCATATGTGTTTTAAATGCCCGTTCTTTCTTTGCTAATAATACCGAATGAGATAAGGCAAAAGGTAATTGATTATGGTCAGCCAACAAAGACAAACTTGAGAAATGAACCTTAAAGGTTTAAGTCAAAAAAATCCTTGACTATAAAATTGCAATTAATCATAGCAATCGTAAATTTGTTTTTAGAAAATAATTAATTATAATAATTGGCTATATTCGCTCGTCTTCTTTTTATCACAGATGATGAAATTATTTTGAATGTAAAAAGCGATTTCATAATACAGTTAAAAAATGTTCATCGCCCCTTGCTAATGTAAATTTGAAATTTGAATTATTATGAGCTGTTACAAGTGTCAAAAAGATAAAACATCTCGTTTTAACAAATAATAAATGATACTTATGTTAATATAACAGATGTTGATCAATCGTGCAAATTTATAAACTCGTGTTGATGGCCATCCATCGTATCTGTGTTGCTTCATGTGAACCACATTTATCTACATTTAATGGATTTGGAATATATACAGCTTTGATAGGCTTGCTTATATAGTTGAAGATGAAGCGTTTTCTACAAACTCTTCCATTGATTAATTAACAGGAAATACGTATATCCTTTGAATGTTGTTATTGGAAGAAATCGAATTTTTTTGTTAGTGATTATGAATCAACTTTTTATGGCACCCAACCTAATTGGCTAATTAAGAATATTTTCACTATGTAAAAAATGTTGTATTTTCGATAAGCTTGCTCGTGCCTACAAGTTTTGATGAATGAAAGAAAATTAGTACTAGTGGTGCTAGCAAAGTTGTAAAAATCGTACCTCCTATTTTTCTTTTATATGAATAAAAAAAGTACTTGTGACACGGAGAAATTTCAAGTTTAATAGTACTAGACCAGTCTAAATATTTTGACACTAGTAATGAAAAAAAAAGGTTTTATTTTATCGGAATTATTTTACTTATTTTAGACAATTTATAAAATTTAGGAATCTAGATGTTGCACGAACGCCCCCACAAAAAAATTTTTTTGCGTAGTTTTATTCCCCTTTTTTGTGAATATTGTGCTACAAGGAGAATTCTTATTATTTGTAGACTTGCTATTGGACGTTGTACATACATATACGCACATGTTAATTAAAGTTAAGGTTTGAGTTTATAAATCTTAAATTTAATTTCGGTTAATTTAATTATATTAATCACCCAATAATAAATACAATCTTCCATTGATTTGTTGTTATTATTTATATTAAGGAAGGATTTTGTCAAACAATGCATAATAAAATAAAGTTGTTATCATGTTTGACAAAAAAAAATTTTTTTTCCCATATTTTATTATTTTATCAATCTTTTTTTTTTATTAAATTTTTCAGATAATTACGATAATTTATGGGCTAGTACATGAAAGTTGTGGGCTCAAAACCCATATAATTCAGGGGAGCTACCAGTTGATTGGTTTGTTGATACTATATGATTAATTAATCAATCAAATCAAATCACTTTTTTTGACAGAAAAAAAATTTTTAAAGATTTTTTAAAAAAAAAGGGTTGAAATTGTTTATAACACAAAAAAATAAATTGATTGGTCACATGAACAATTGGTTTTATTATAAATAAACACTATTTTCGCTTTCAAGAAATTTTCAATCCTTAAACAAATCTTTTTTTTGCAAACAAAATTTTATTTACACAACCTTTTTTTTTTTTTTACAATTTTAATTAAATCATTCACTATTTTTTTTTCAAATTCAAAAATCAATTTTCCAGTATATTAATTTAACTGGCTAATATTTTAATTAATTATTTTTTTAATAAAATAATTTTTATTTTTTTGCTACGATAAGTCTTTTATTAATAACTTTTTAATTAAAGTTTTATTTTTTAAAAAAAACTACGATTTTTAATAATTTAATAATTTTCCAATTTTTCTAATTTTCTAAAAAGAAAAAATTAAACTACTCATTTATTACTTACTTTCTTACTGTAATACTTTTAAATTTAATCATGTCTGCTATTATCAGTAACAAATCTAATACTGAAACTCTTAAGAAGTACCTCTCTCTTGACCAAGGCGGCAAAGTTCAAGCCGAATATGTTTGGATTGATGGCAGTAACGGTTTACGTTCTAAAACAACTACTCTTGACTTTAAACCTGCCGATGTCTCTGAACTCAAGGAATGGAATTTCGACGGTAGTTCAACCGAACAAGCTCCCGGCCACGATTCTGATGTTCTGTTAAGACCCGCCGCTGTTTTCAAGGACCCTTTCCGTGGCGGTGATAACATTATAGTCTTATGTGAATGTTACAATAGTGATGGAACACCAAACAAAACAAACTTTCGTCATTCGTGTGCTAAAATCATGCAAAATCATACTGATGCTCATCCATGGTTCGGTCTTGAACAAGAATATACTTTGTTTGATGTAGATGGTAATGTTCTTGGTTGGCCAAAAGGTGGTTATCCTGGTCCCCAAGGTCCTTACTATTGTTCAGTTGGTGCAAACGTTGCTTATGGTCGTGACATAGTTGAAGCTCATTATCGTGCTTGTCTTTATTCTGGTGTAAATATTTCCGGTATAAATGCTGAAGTCATGCCTGGTAATTATATAATAATGTTATTATTATTTATCATTATTATTAAATAATTAAATAATTGATTTAAATTATTTTTTACTTTTAATCTCATAATAATGATAGGTCAATGGGAATTTCAAATTGGGCCGTGTGAGGGAATAGACATGGGTGATCATTTGTGGATGGCAAGATATCTATTGAAACGTGTGGCTGAAGATTTCGGTGTTGTAGTATCGTTCCATCCAAAACCGATAAAAGGTGATTGGAATGGAGCTGGTTGTCATACAAATTATTCAACAGAAGCTATGCGAAAAGAAGGTGGCATAAAAGCAATCAATGATGCAATAGATAAAATGTCATCAAGGCATAATGAACATATAGCGGTTTATGGCGAGGATAATGATCTAAGGTTAACGGGTGCACATGAAACTGGACACATATCCCAATTCTCCTCAGGTGTAGCGAATCGTGGTGCTTCAATACGAATACCTAGGCATGTAGCTGCTCAAGGAAAAGGATATCTAGAAGATCGTCGTCCGGCCTCAAATATTGATCCTTATCGAGTCACTCATATAATAGTTGAAACAACTCTTTCGTAGTATTAAATCAGATCATCATTTCACAAAAAAAATTTTTTTATTAAAAAAAAAAAATTTTAAAAAATTTAAATTAAAAAAAAAAATCAATATATTATATATATATTTTTATATTTATTATATATTATTTATTATTATATTCAACTTATTATATAAGGGATTTTTGGTAATTATCAATATTATGGGGTTTTGGATGTTTAATTTTTATTATATATACCACAATCAATTACGCATTATATTTTATGATTTTTAAAAAAATAATATTATTTTTATTATTTTTTTTTTCCTTGAGAAATAGGTTTTTTGAATTTGAAAAAAACAGTAATTTTTAACATAATTATTTCATTATATACTTGATAATATAATAGTGTGTACAAATTGATCTTTTATTTATAATAATTATAAAAAATACACAATCGCACTTATATATTTATCAATCTTCTTTTTTATTCTTAATACTTTTCTATTTTCACCATTATTTTCTCTTTATTTTTTCCTTCTTACTCTTCAATCTTACCATCATAACATTTTATTTACAACATTCCTCCTTCCTCATTTCCACATTTTCTCTTTCCATTCTTGTTCTTTTCCTCCCTTCACATATAATATACAAAACATTTAATCATTCTTTTCATGAAAAAGTCATGACTGAATTTGGTTTTGTTTAGATCTTATGGAGAGTGGAAAAAAATTATTCAAGTAAAAATTAGTTTTTTTATTTCAATAAGAAGAGAAATTTCAGAAGGGAATACGTAACAAAATATATACTAGCAGAAAGATATAAGCAAATTGTTTTATTGTGTATAATCAATAAACTTTTTGGTGTAATCTTTACAATCAAAAAAGGTCTCTTGAAAGAAGGATATGAGGAGGGATTAATAATCTCGTTATACATGGAAGATAGCGGTGAAATAAGAAGAGAATACAATAATTTATAATACAACAATTATTAGTAAGCAATATAAATGGTCTTTTTTTATTATCATCAATTTGAATAAAGAAGAAGATTTTTTTAGTTGAAGACTTTTTAACGAAGAGAATTATATTATAATAATAATAATTTAATTTCTTTATATTTTTATGATTTATTATTATTATTGTTAATAATTATATATTTTATTATATATATAATTATAATAATAATTAATAATATTACATATAAAGAATTATTTATTATTATTTATATATAATATTGTGTATTTTTCTATTATTATGAATAGAAATTAATTATTTTTTTTATTATGCTTTTTATTTTTAAAACAATTTTTTTGTAAATATGTTTAATTATTGTAAAAAAAATTTTTTATATATATTCTTTTTTATTCATATATATACTTTGAATATGTTTATAGTAAATAATAATCTAATTTGGTTTTTTTTTTACTTTTAAAAAAAAAATCTTTTTAAGCTATGATTTAAGTTTTTTTTTTTTTTAATTTATGCTTTATTTTTTTTAAAATAATAAAAAATTATTTAAATTAAAAAATTGCGTTAAACAAAATGCCAAATATTACACTTGAGGAATTAAAGAAAGAACTTAAGTTGAAATAATATATATAAAAGACACTGCTGAGAAAGTTTTAACCAAAATTGACCGAACAATAGCGATTTTCTTTTAACAAAGTTGAAAATTATTTAGTGAAAGTTAGGAGAACCCTTGATCGGAAAGAAATTTATTAATATTAAGCAGGGTTTTAGAGATTAGAAAAAACCAAGATAATTAACAGGATTTAGTCGTGGGAAATTAATTGTTTTGAATCAGGGATGCCGTAAGTGGGTTGGAGAATTTGGACTTGTTGTTTTGGGGATTAATTGTTTTGATAACTAAAATCGGCATGGTCTCATTGTGACATAATACTTTGGGTTTGTTTATCAATTTCTAATCCGCAAGAATTTTATTTCCAATCCTTTGACAATTAGCTCATCACAGTTAGCCAGAATGGGATCGACTTGTTCCATTAGTTCTTCTCCTAAAGTTTGACTACTGGTAATCTTTAGTTTTGGGCTCTGCTTAAATTCTAGTTGAGCTATGATTAGTTGTTGTAGTAACGAGCAAATTGGAAATAGGCTTCTATTATCTTTTCTTTTTCTTCTTTGATAATATTAAGAATTATTTCTGCTTTTCTTTTCTCTAATTGAACGTTATATTTGAATCTTTGTTCTCCTATTTCTCTATTGCCAAAAACTAATATTTGATTTTCTAAACTTATTGACAAGTTTTCTAGCCCTTCAGTAGTAATATTTAGTATTAGAAGTGTATATAAATTTTTTATTTTCAAACTTCCGTAAAATCGTTTATTGCTAATGTTCAATGAATATTTTAGGTTAATAAAATCTACTAAAAATAGTTAAATCATGAGAAGGGATATTTAAATCCAAAGTAAGTAAATTTTCTGGATTAGGCAACTTTTCTAAAAATTCCAAATCTTCCAACAAATTAACCTACAGATATAATTGATTTTACTTAAATTCAGACTGGTAATTTGGTTCCTTGGACATTCTAAATGAATTAGATTTGCAAAGTCGGATAAGTCTAGAAATCCTTCAAGGTTTTTTCATAGAAATATAGTTTTGTAAACATTTTTTCTAATCTCCTTTGGATATTCCTTATCTAGTCATTCTTGAACATTAACCATCATCTATTCTCTCCTTTCTTTCTAGTTAGGAAAAGCCAAGGTAAGTAATTGGTTTTATTTGTATTTTGATTTGATCTGATTTGAATGAGGCTTTTAAGCTTTCTTTTTCCTCAGAATAAATTTATTCCAGAATGTTCTAAATATTTTCCTAAAAAATTGATTGTTTTCCCAATCACCTGATCTAGAATTCAAAATAGTTTAATTTGTTTCTTTCCAAATTTACGCATATGACCAATTTTATATAAATAATACCTAAAAAATCCTTAAAAAATTAATTTTAAACATTTTTGGTAACAATTAAATCATTATTTTCACACATTCTAATATTTTTTCTTTAAACCATAAACTACACATACAAATAATAAATAAAATATGTTTAAAACCTCAATATTTGGATCTAATAAATCTTCTTCATCGTCGTCAGCCTCTAAAACCATAGCAATAAATACTCAAAGGGATATAATTCTTGAACAATTGATTTCAATATTTCCTGATGCAGGTAAAGTTAACTGTTTTGCATAAATTTTTTTTTTACATAATTACAGAAAGAAAGTAAAATAGAAAGATTATATAGATAAATAAATATAATAATTCACATTAGAATTTTTGTTTATTCACACACTATATATTTACAAACGTATATATATATTTACAACATAATACTATATTTATAGATCAAGAATATTTAAAATATTGCATTGGGTTTTATCGTGATAATCATGTTGAACGTATTAGTGAAAAAATATTTAATTACAACAAAGGACACTACCCAAAAGTACCAAAAGGTTGTACAAACGCCAATTCAATCGAAGCAAAAAACTCTTATTTATTACAACTAAACGATCTATTTCCAGAATGCGACATATCCTTTCTGCGTGACTGCATTTCAAATCAAAACAATAACCATGTTCATCAAATTACTGAAATGCTATTAAATATGGAAAAATCTTCACAACAAAAAGCTTATCCAAAAAGGATTCAACCTTTCGTCATAGAAGATTGGGAATTGATTCGCTCGCCACAATATTGTAAAGCAGTCAGATATCGTTTATACAATGATTTTCCGGATATTTGGAAATCAACCATCAAAGCTGTTTTGGCCGAGAATAATTTTGATTATAGAAAAAGTTATGATAAACTTAAAGATTTGTCTCATAATAATAGTTATTGGTGGAATTCTATATTTAGCGTTTTTAAGCGCAAAAAATATATCGATATAGATGATAAAGATTTAATTAGTGAAGTTTATAAATTAAAATCTCTCCAGCTAGATGAATTATCTCGTAATGATCACAAGATAGCAAAACAAATTAATCTCACCGAATACACCCAAAACAATCAATTAATCACTTGTGGTTGTTGCTATGGTGATTATCCTTTCGAAGATTTCACATGTTGTAACGAGGGTCATTTATTCTGTAAAGAATGTATAAATCATTTAGTACAAGAAGGTTTATACGGTCAAGGTTCTTTAAGAGGAAAAATAATTAATTGTATTGATTCTTCTTCACCTGGTGATGATGGAATTGGTGCGGCCACTAGTGGTGGTTGCAATGGCTATTTCACTGAGGAAAAACTTAAATCCTGCTTAAATCCTGATCTTTTCAAACGTTATGCAGAGTCATTAATAGAACATTCTTTAAAACAATCAAATCTTTTACTTATTCAATGTCCTTTTTGTCCTTATTGTGAAGCAGATGATGATGACGATGATCCTTTTCGCCAAATAAAATTACCAAAAACTTTTATAATAATTAGCAGCATTCCTTTGGCTCTTTTACCTTTTTTCACTTCTTTCGAAAATGTTATGAGTGCTTTGAATGTAGTTGCTATTATTGTCATACCTCAAATATTTTTAAGTTTATTGGGTTTGTTTCCGATAAAAACTTGGTTTGAAGATTTTGACAATATCGTGAAAAGGGTATGTAAAATAGTCATTATATTAAAAATATTACATCAAAATGTTATTGCTATGATAGTAATAGTTTTTTTTTTAATTAGGTGAAAAGAAAACGCAGAGGTAATATTTTTAAATGTAGAAATCCAGAATGTAATAAAGTGTCTTGCTTATTGTGTAATCGAGAAAGCAGACCTTTTCATAAATGTTACGAGCAAGAACAAGATAGTTTAAGACTTTATGTAGAAAGAGCTATGGCAGAAGCTGTAAAAAGAACAGTATGTTTAATTCTATTAGTTAGTCTATATAATTATATGTACGAGGGAGTGTATATATGTATATTAACAAAAGAAAATATATATTTTGATTTTTGATATAGTGTCCAAAATGTCATGTTTCATTTACAAAAGCGGATGGTTGTAATAAAATGACATGTAGATGTGGTAAAGTATCATTATACAATTATAATTATTATAATTATAGCAAATGCTTTATTTATCTAACACAATATTTATGTCATTTATTATTAGGATATGTAATGTGTTATCTCTGTAGAAAAGATTTACGTCAAGAATCATATGCACATTGTAAGTGATTTATTTAAATAATTGCTTATATATATATACAGTGTGTTAGCGTGTTGTTTATACATAATTCTCAATATAATTTTTTTATAAAAAAATTTTTCTAGTCTGTGATCATTTCCGACCAATACCCGGACAAAAATGCAAAAAATGTAATAAATGTGATCTTTACAAAACAGAAGATGAAGAAAAAGTGGTAAAAGAAGCTGCCGCTAAAGCAAGAGCTGAATATATAAAATTACATCCTGAAGCAAGAGATGTTAATCTATTGGAAAATACTGCTATAGGTCCAATAAAAAATGATGGTATGCATTGACTATTTTATTTTTTTTGGTTATTTTACATTATTGGTTATGTTAAAATACTAATTTAATTGGGGGGTGTGTTTTAAAAAAGATGAAAAATATATTAGGGAAGCAATTGATCGAGCAATAGAAAAAATTGTAGATTATTTATTACCTTGATTTATATATTATTCCTTTTCAACAAAACTCTTTTGCGTGTATATTATTTACTTTAATCAATAAAACAATCACTTTTTTTTTTCTTATTCTTTATATATTGATTTTTTTAGATGATAAATGACAATTATTCTTTGTAAAATTTTTACTTTATAATAGAAATTATATATTTTAAATATATCTATCAATTTTTGTCGAAATAAAAATATCGTGTCAAAAGATATAGTTACTAATATCTGTAAATGTGTGTGTGTATATATATATATATAGAGTAATAAATTTACATAAAATCCTCTTCCATATCAATTGCATCAGTATTACTTCTCATATTTGTTTCAACAAATATTGTATCATATGAATTTTTTGCCTTTTGTTCCTTACGTTCCCTTTCTAAACGAAGTTGCTCTTGTTTCTGTTACATTTTAAAAAATTCATTAGCAATTAGTTATTTCATAAATAAAAACCCACCAATGCATCTATATGTGTATGTGTGCGTGCACGTATGATAATACTTACTATAATATTAGCTTTCTCACGAGCTATTCTACGAACTTCTTTCTCCATATCCACTTTCTCAGCCTCAAGATCTGGATGTCGTTCTATTTTAGTTTTCTCTAATCTTTTTAAAATTACATTTTCTTTATTTCCAGCTTGGAATTTTTTTACCTAAAAAGAATTTTTTAAAAACGAGAATTTATTTATTACATTATTATTATTACCGATATATATAATTATGATATAATTCTTTTTACCATATTTTGCTTATGAAAAGATACTACACCAGTAGCCATACCAGGTGTTTTCAATAAATTTGACCAAGGCGTATATACAATTGTGATGCTTTTTTCTTTACTTCCTGCAAAAAGAGAATTTTTATATGTGTGATTATATGTATAAATAAATAATAGATGTAAATATACACCATACCCTGTATGCTATTAGCTTTGACCAATTGGCCCAGATCATTTAAAAGATCTAAAGGGATATTATCCCATTTCTGTTCTGATCGTAATCTAAGATAAACATGAGCACTTGAGATTTTATCTGCATGGAACTTTTTATTTATTTATTAATAATAATAATAGTCATTATTATTATTATTATTATTATTATTATTATTATTATTATTATGACGATGATGACGATGATGATAATTGTATTGATTGGGATTATATTTAATACTTTACCCTAATAAAAAAAGAAAAAAGAACTTAATAAATAATTTTTTTCTTCCAAAAAATATAAATGAATGTGTGTGTGTATGTATTTTATTAGTTTTATCTCACCATACATCATTATCCCATCCATGTTTAATCAGTTCATCATCTAATTAATTGGTTTTTTTTAATAATTAATAAATAAATATAAAATATATATTTTTTTTAAATATAAAATTTTAACACAATACCTACTTTCTTCTTTATCTTTGCCCATGTAAATTGTGGCAGGGGGGTCAACAACTTTTTTTTTTAATAAAAAAAAAATAAATCATTAATATTATTAATTAATTGTATTATTATTATTGTTGATATCACTAACCGTTACTCGTAAAATAAAAAACCATTTTTTTTTTATTTGAAATTCTGAAATTATTATTTTTAAATGAAATCGGTGTCACGCAATTTTAGATGTTTATTTATTTTTTTATTATTTTGTAAGATATTAAAATTATAATCAAAGCTCAATCATTTCACTGAGAAATGTTTATTTCATTCTGATAATTGTTATTGTTAAAATGTTTAAAGAAGCTAAAATTATTATAAGATTATTTTTTTATTTGAATTGAGAAATTATGCTAAAAAATGGTTTTTTTTTTTAATTAATCTTTAAGAAAAATAAATAAATATATACAAAAAGTAGTGTGTTTGTTGAATGTGGTAAAAGTTTATTATTTACTTGATAAAAATGGGAATTTTTTTAAAATAGAATAAATAAAAAATTGATCTATATTATTATTAATTGGTTAATTTGGGGAAAATATTATAACTGAATAAGCAATAATACATGGCCAATAGAAGCAACATATTACTGGCAATAGATAACTCCCAAGTAATTCATATTCTAATAAAGCCCAATTTAAAAAATCTTCTATGTTAGTCCTTGATATTATTAATATTCCTGGTGGTGAAATCATAAATAATATTAATGATTGTAAATAAATTGTAATGTTTTTTTGTGGTTGATTCTTCTGATTTGGTTGAAATAGTGAAAATGGAATTAATACTAATAGTGATATAAATACTGCTAAACTAAAATTTAACACTGAAAGGCATGATATTAACATCCCTGAAAATGCCAATGTAAATGATTTTAATATGATCCAATCTGATGCTGGTTTAAGTGGCTGTTTCTTATATATTATTTTAATTTGTTTAGAATGTGATTGAAAGAGTGAATTAATTATTGATGAAAATGTTACCGAGATGCTTGTGGTTATAAATAGTGTAAATAAATAGTTCTAAAATATAATCGATAAATTAATTTATTATTAATAATAATAATACTGCTATTACCATTATTATTATCATTAAATATTGAAATTAAAAATACCTTTATATTAAATAAATTTGATATCCAATTAAATTTAAAATGATTCACAATAACAAAGAAAATAACCAATCCAGCAATATGAGATATTACTAATCCAATCATTGGATATAAAATTTCTCTTGGTCTTTTATTATATGGTAAGGATAAGACCTTGGGGTTTAATTCAACTGATTCAGAAGATTGAGCTTGATTTAATTGTTGATTTATTTTGTCATTTTCATTTGTTGTAATTGGGATATCGCTTGTAGAGCCCCATAATTCCAAAGCGTAAAAATTAAATAATATATATGAAGTTAAGATATATACATATATAATATATATATAGATTTATAAACAAAAGTCTTTTTATAGATTTTTAAAGGATATATGAAGTATTAAACCAACTGCCAATAATATAACGGGTGGTAAATATGATGCTATTGAAATATATCGTTGTGGTGAAGGTAAAAGATAAAAAAAGAATGATTGATGAAAATGTTCAAGCAGATTATTTAAACTTCTAAATGCCGACTCTATAATCCTTTAATGTTATAAATATAAATATATATATACACACACACACAAAAGATTTTATGTTTTTTATCAGAAAATAAAAATTTTTGTTACTCACGATCCAATTTCCATAAAGCCATAACTACTGGAAACTGGCGCATCACTTTTACCATATAGAGTAATGGCATCAATTTTATACCTGATAAATAACAATTTACTATTAATCATTTCATGTTCATTATTAAGAAATCCGAAAACCTCCATTTTTTAAATCTAAATACCTAAAGAATAACCCGTGACTACCAGTTGGATGACTTAAAGCTTGATATTTCATTGTCATTAATAAATTATACAGAGATGACAAATAATCACCAGCGTCATTAAAATTATAATAATGTCCTGAACCATTTAACTTTATGGGGATACTATATGAAACTCTGGCAGTACAAAGTATAATAATGTTGATTAAATCTAAATTGGGAAGTTGACCATTAACACCCTCTGATAATTTTTTTAAAAAAATAATTTATCAATTAATAATAATAATTGTTATAAAAAATGATAAACAACCCTCAATTCTATAATTACCAAAAAATAGTTCGATTGCTCGATAATCACTGGTTCCAGGAAAATCTAAATTAATCGCTGCCTGAATTACGCCTGAGCGTAAAAGTAAAGGACTTGCTATAATATCTAATAATTATAATCTTCCTTAATCATAAATAAATAAATAATGCACAAATAAAAACAATATTTAGCAAATTTAAATATTACTTGATCGTTGATAATCATGATAAGATTCCAACCAAGCTTGAACTCCTGCTTCTCCTTCATCAGTAATCAAGAATATAATATCTTTTGACCAATATGTATAACCTATATAATAATCACAAGTGTTTTTCCTATCAAAATCATGTATTATTGAAAAAATGAAATTATATGTTTTTGCTGTCTGTTAACTTTTCTTAAACCATAAATTTCAAAACAAAATTTACTTTTAAAAAATTTTCCAATAGATAGAATTGCTGCTATACCATTAACATTAGCTTTTTTAAAAAAAAAAAAACTCTCAAATTATTAATGTATTTTAAAAAAATCAAAATCTTTTTTAAAAAAAATCAAAAATTTTAAAAATTTACTTGTTAAATCATCTCTTGATTTCCATGGAGCACTCAACACAAGCGCTTCTGTCCCGTCAGCTCTTGGTGCATTCAACACCGCAAAAACATTTATACCAGAGATTGTCTATATTCGAACAAGTTATATAAAATTTTAGATTAAATTAAATGGAAACAGCCAAGAATTTTATTAATTACTTTTCCTGAAACTTTTACAGTAAAGTTTTGGGTTGCAGTTTTTAGACCTGCCATCCGTAATTTGTTTTCTATAAAAGAAACTTTCCTAATAATAACAATATATTATGCATATAAATATTTATATAATATGTATGTAATAAATAATATTGAACAATTTAACAAAAAAACCCCCGATTTGGATTTTTATTTCCTACTCTATCTTGGATGCATTTGACACTGATTCAATTTGATCTCGATAGTCTGCAGCTTCAAAAACATTCGACCAACTATAATATGTATTGACCTATATCAATATATCATATATATATATATACACATTAGTTAAGAGTTTATAAATAATTTGATTACTTATATAAGCATAATATAACCATTTAATATACCTGACCAGGAAGAAGTGCATTCTCTGATATATACGTATGTTTATTATATTTTTCTAGTGGAAATACAAAAAACCAACAGATTCCTATAATAAACAACAAATATCGAAGTTTTGGAATCCATTTTTTAAGTGAAAGTATCAATAATCTTTGTTTTTGAAGCCTTGCTAATGTAGGAATTTTGGAAGTAGACATGGTGGTCTTAAAAATTTTATTACTTGAAGGCGTAGCAAAAGACCTACAGCATCACAAAATAATTTCAGTAGTACAAAATGCAAGACGGATTCATAACCTTCCCTTTCTGATGATGAATGGTTTGGCCAATTAATTATGGGCCCCTTTTAAATTTACTATATATATATATATATATTGCTTGGAGGGACATCTCAAGTAAATTTATTTTGAGTATAGAGGTTAGTGAGAGTTTGAAATTGAGTACTCATATATGCACTCGTACCAGAAACTTCTAATTGAGGTCCCAAGTATTATTAGAAAAAAATTTAGGTCCCAGAAAATTTACTTAGGTCCTTTTATAGTCAGGGCGAAATAATGCACAAATACTATTATATATATAAGTGGTAAATTTGTTATAATGAATCAAGTGAATGCATCACATGGATCATTCTAGACATAAGACATCCATCACATTCAACCTATAAGATGAGGCAACAATGATTATATAAAACATATGTACAGTATTTTGCAGAGATCCATTTTTATAAATCTTCCTCAAAAGTGAAAAAAAAATTTTATAACATGGAATATGATAATAGTATAGTTTTACAAGTAGTTGTATCCGCCGAATGATATTCGGTTTATCCGGGTTCTATAAACTCGAACAATCTTATACTTTACCATTTTTGGAAATAGTTTACAGGGCATCACAAAATTTATCCTAATTAAGAAATGATATTCGATTTTGAAGACTGTCTGTTCCTCAAAAAAATCACTCATAATAAACTAGATCAACATTACATGACATTACATATTAATATAATAAAAAGCTAGAGTTAATATACTCATTTAATGAAACTTTGGGTGGAGAATCTATGTTTAAGAAGACATTTATTATTTCATATTGAGATTATTATTTTGAGGGAAGAGTTATTGGTTTGTTTTATTTATTTCTTGAATCATTAATGAAATAATCCTTGTTAAAACTCTATCTCAACATGTCATTGGTGGCTATATTGTTCTCCAACCCTTTTATCTAAAGCCTTGAGAACCCATTCAATCAACATTGGTATGTTTTGACAAATTTCTAAAACTTTTGTTAATTTTTTGTCATCCAGTATTGTCTCACCAACATTACTAGTTAATTGGGATGTAACCAATAACCGTGAATCTTGTTGTATGGTAATTTGTAAAAATATAAATGATGATGATGCGAGATTAGTTGGTTGGAAACTTATTGAAAACTTGTTTGGTGGATCTATTACATTAAACCTTATTTCCAATTTTCTTGATGAAACTATTTTTAAATTAAAAAAATAATTAATGTTTATGGATATTACTGAAATATATAAATATTCACAAACCTCCTTCAACATCAACATCCATTCTATTTTGTTTGGGTTGAGAAGGTTTATATGTAAAGGAATTGAAACAACTTTGAAACAATGTATTGTAAACAAGTTGTTGGCGCAATAACTAAGGAAGATTTAAATGAATTATAAGAGAAAAAAATTTAAATGGTTTAAATTAATATTGTATTCTTACAAACCTTTAATATTCTGTAAATTTGAACAGGATTTGTGAAAGGTAAACGATCAATTCTTTTGGAACTTGTGCAACAAGATTTACTATTTAATGAGTAAACTTGTAAATAAGGTGAATCATCAAAACTCTAGCTTGCAATTTATATAAAAAATCATTATTAAAGGAATTTATCAAGAGATAAAAAAATATATAATGTCGATGATAATACCTTTTCCCAATAAGTATTTATGCTAGGGTTATTTGATAAAGAAAACAAAACAGAAGATGGAACAATATCTTGTATCTAATAATAATAATAAAATATGAGAGAAGAAGAAATTTTAAATGGCGTGTATGCCTTAATATTTATTTACCAAAAGCTCTTCCAGTGATAAACTTTGTGTATCCCTGTTGTCAAAACCACCACTAACACCAATCGGAAAAGAATCTAAATAATAATTTATTAGACCAAACATTTTTTACATCTAAAAAAAAGAATCATTTATACCTTTATTGATAACCCCAACTGATTTCCCTATTTCTCTGGCTATATTATCAGCAACAAATAATGGTGGTTCTAACCATGCAACATATTTAACAGGAGCGACAACTGCAAATTTTTCTTTTGGCTCTAGGAAATTCAATTGATTTGGAAGAGTTGGAAATTGCAGATCTGAAATAATGTCAAAACTAATATAATTGATATATAATTTTAAAGGATGTGGCAAAATGACAAAATAAATAAATCTACTAGATGATTATATAAAGATATCATACTTGTTCATCAGATCTGACTCATCATCCATATTCTCTATTAAATGTTTTCTTTCAATACTTTCAATAGGTAAAAATTTATTAATAGTTTGAGACTCTTCCATGGTAATCCACATGCGATAAAATGATTTGAAAATTTCATTATTTTCATCTGTTAATAATCAATAGACTAATTTTTAGTTCAAATAAATAAATAAATAAATAAATAAATAAATAAATAAATAAGAGACAATATTCAAAATACCGCTTATTAAAACATTTTTAACAAAATTCCAATCAGTTTCAATAACTTTATATTTAGGTGCCCAATAAACTATTGACGGACCTATATAATCCATATGGAACAATGGAATTCCATGACCTTCGATTAATATTTGTGAAATATTTCCTTCAGTATTTGAACTAAATGTAAATGTATATAGTTGTATATTTTTTTAAAAAAAGTATAAAATCTATATGTTATTGTGTTGAATAATTCTTGATTTAATCTTAAAATACTGAGATGTTGTTGAACTTACTATTCCTTCCCATATATTGACCTAATATCTTTGTTTATACGACGCATACAAAGAAAAGTATCTAAGTTTTCATTGTTTGTCGATAGAGTTTCTAATGTTGCCAAAATCTGAAGATTTCTTTTAAATAATTTGAATTGTCCATAATTACTGATCAATCAATCAATCATTTGAAAATTTAAAAAATATTAATATTATTTAATAAAATTATTGAATATTAGACCAAGAACTTGATTACTAACCTTAATTGATATGTTAATAAATTACTAATTTTCTTCTTTATTTTCTTTTTCTTTTTTGCATAAAAAATTATTTATTACAAAAAAATACTTTATATTAATAATAGTATACTATTCAAATATTATCAAATCCTACCTGGCCAGTGATAGTGACTTTGTTTATTTGATTAATGCTTTCATTAAATTGAATCTGTCAAATGATATAAATAACATGGATTATTAAAGTAATTATTGTAGTATTACCATATATTATATATTGTTATTAGCATACGTCTAAAAGATGTATGCTTCCGCTTATTGATTGGGTAGAATGTGCTCCTTTGCGATCAAGTTCATAAACTTGAAGTCTAAATAAATATTTAAATATTATTCAACGAACAGATTTAAAAAATGTAAATAGAGAAATTTAAATTTTACCCAAATTTCTTGGCAAGATTAACTGTTTCTTGAATAACAAACTTAAATGCAGCCCCCATATCTTGACATGCATCTAGTGCCAATTCCTTGCATATTTTAATATCTTTGTGCAATTCGGTGAGTGGACTAAGACGGTTTGATTCCTCCTTTTGATTGATTCAATCAATTGTAATGATGATAACTCAGTTCCTCAATAATCCAATTTGCTTTTAATACGTCTATATATCTATGTAATATATGTATATTGCAAACCTGTAATTCACCAGTGTATCTTTTAATTGTTTGTTCAAGTCCAACTATAATATTATGTTGAGCAGTAGCCTCAAAAATTAATGAAGTTCGGAATTTAGAAATAATGTGCTTTATTAAATCAATTTTTTCTTTAAATTCGATGGACACTGAAGCCAAATTAACAGGCCCAAGAGGATGAATTGCTTTGTTAAACAAAATAGAAAAGAAAAATTTATTATCATTAATAATTAAAAAAAAATATCTAAAAACTACTATTAATAAGTAAATCTTGTTAAACCATTAGGAATTGGAGTATTTTGACGAGTAGACACTTCATATTGTTCCTGTATATCTATTATTAAACTTTGTAATTCACCAAGTATGGTATGAATATTTTTAGGCTTTATTTCTGTCATGATGAAATTTTCAGATTAGAAAAATCTTGATTGATAATTTATTATAAACAATTGTATCACATTCAAAAACATCCATCTTGAAATATAACAATAACTATTATTATTATTTATTATATTAATTTATTAATTAATATTAATTATTTTTATTTTTTATTTTATAAAAAAAAAAATAAAATGGAAGGCATTCAAAGCATTTGTATTAAAAACACAGAAACAAGACAATCTCCCAAACCTCATGTTGTTTACCGTGTAGAAGTTCAAGCAGCAGTTAGAACTTGGACTATTTGGAAACGTTACAGTGAATTCGATGAATTAAATGATAAACTTTCCCGTCTTTTTCCAAATAACCTACCACCATGTGAAATTCCAGGAAAGAACTATTTCCAATCTACCTTGGGAAATCCCATTCTTATCGAAGAAAGACGTAGAGGCTTGGAAGAGTATTTAAAAGCAATACTTTCACACAGAGATGATCGTTGGAGAGAAACTGATGAATGGAAAGCATTTTTAGCCATACCAACTGGAAGGTCAATCGACCCTATTAATATGTATACTTTTGAAAGTTGGCTTGATGAATTTCAACAAGTCCAAGCATTAGCCAAAGAGATTCGTTCACATCTTAATCGCCGTGAAACACATATTGCAAAAAACGAAGTACAAGCTTCACATAATTGTAGTTTACAGGCTAAAAAATGCTTAGCTACACTAGGTGTTCGAGCGTCACAACTTGAAAGCGGTCTTACAGGTTTAGCAAAAGGTTCTGGAAGAGATGGTAAGGTTATGTCGGAAGGTGAACTCAGGAGAAGACAAGATATGTTAAATGATCTCAAAGATGAAAAAGACACCTTAGCAAAACTTGTGTTAGCAAATAGACCTGACTATAGCAAGGCCACCACACCAGCTAGCTCGATTGATCGTGCTGCTTTGTTCCGACAACCAATTAGACAGCGTTCATCACCACAACTTGGTAAATTTGGAGGTAGTGCAATAATGGATACACCAGCCAATGGAAATGGGTTAGCCACATCACCGACATCGTCAATTTTAACTAATTCTCAAACGAATCTTTCATCACGACGAGTATTTGGTAATGCTCGAGCAACGCCAGCCGAAACTGAACAAACTCGTGGTCTTGACAATGAGGGTCTGGTAAAATTACAAAAACAGGCCATGGAAGATCAAGACCGGCATGTTGAACAATTTACTGCCATATTAAATAGACAAAAACATATCGGACTTGCCATTAATAATGAATTAGAGATTCAAAATCAATTGTTGACAGAATTAGATGAAAGTCTTGACCAAACAGCAAATAAATTGAGCTTCAATACAAAAAAATTAAATGCAATCAAATAATAGATAAATAAAACACCAATACAATATAGATAGATGTATACATGTATATGAATATTTTGTAATGACTCTGAATGATTTTTTTTTACTATTATTATTATTTTTATTTTTCTCATCTTATCATCTTTATTATTATTATTGTATTATTCATTCATCTTATCAATTAGATTATTACTTTTTTTTTAATTTTTCATTCGTTTAAAAGGGTTTTTTGTACTACGTAATAGAAATTCAAATAAAAAATTTCGTAAAGGAATTTTTTTTTTAATCTTTAAAAATGTGGAAACCTTCTATTACAGGCACAAATAATATTCCTTTAGGAAGAAGAAGACTATATGGTACATCTGATGAACAAGAATTACAAGTAACCCAAAATTACAGTCCGGAGCCTAACTACCCTACTGGATTTTCACTTAAAAGATCTAATGATAATGACGACGACCAACAATCAGGTATAAACACAGCATGGTGTTAAAAAAAAAAGCAATTTCTTGTTAACGGTCCTTTAGTGCAGATTATTTGATCTATAACCTTTTCTTTGTTAAATAAAGTTTGCAAATTTTATTTTACAATTCAATAAATAGTCTCGAGTCTTTTTCTCTTATAATCTATTTTATTAATTATCATTACCACTACCAACCCATTACCAATTATTTTTTGTTTTATCTTTATCATCATCATCATCATTATAATAATAATATTTATTTTTTATCTTTCATACATCAATATTAACTTATGGCTAATGTTTGCTAATAGCAGAACAAATAAATAATATAATTCACAAAAAAATATACATTTTTTGTTTCAATAAAAGTGAAAAAAAATTTTTAAAAATTACATTTATATTCACTTACTTTTTTCACATGCAAATTCAAAAAAAAAAAAATACATATATGTTTATCGATCCGTTTTCTATTACGTACAACTAACTGGTCTATTTCAGATGAAAGAGAAGAACGTAGGCGTAAGAGAAGAAGTAGATGGGGTGGCGAGGAATCAAAGGTAAACATTCCAGGACTACCAACTGCAATCACTTCAAAGATGTCAAAGGAACAGTTAGATGCCTATCTTTGTGAGTTGATGTTTTACATAAAACCGTGTGTTTAATATACCATAAATTTTACTTATAAAAGCACACTATATATATATATACATATAATTTTGATTTTAGTACATATGAGATTAGAAGAAATTGGTAGAAAATTAAGAACTGGAGATTATGTTCCACCAGAGCGTGAAAGGTATATTTTATGATTTAAATAAATAAACACCCTTCATATCAAAAAAAAAATAAAAATAAAATAGTTTATTCATTTTTCTTTATCACTTGTTATCGTTCAGATCGTTATCACCTAAACCTATTTATGATTCACAAGGAAAACGTGTCAATACTCGGGAGTATCGTTATCGTAAAAAATTAGAAGATGAAAGACACAGGTTAATCGAGGATGCTATCAAAATGAATCCAGATTTTAAACCACCTGCTGATTATAAGCGTCCTACCAAAATGCAGGATAAAGTTTATATACCAGCAAGAGAATTTCCCGAGATCAATTTCATTGGTTTATTGATTGGTCCTCGTGGTAACACTTTAAAAAAAATGGAATCAGAATCCGGTGCTAAGATTAGTATTCGTGGTAAAGGAAGTGTCAAAGAAGGAAAGAGTAGGACAGATTCTGCTGCAAATGCTAATCAAGAAGAAGATTTGCATTGTCTGGTTACTGCTGATTCCGAGGATAAGGTAGAGAAGGCAGTTGAAATGGTCAATAAGATTATTGAAAATGTAAATAGACAAAAAAGTAAATTTTATTTAAATTTAAATGAAAAATTATTTTCTAATATATTCTTTCTCAAAAAAAGTCAGCTTCCGTTCCGGAAGGTCAAAACGAACTTAAAAGACAACAATTACGTGAATTGGCAGCTCTTAATGGTACACTTAGGGATGATGAAAATCAAATTTGTGCCAATTGTGGTATTACTGGACATCGTAATTATGAGTGTACTGAATCACAAAATGTTACTATCAATCTTACATGCCGCATATGTAGTGGACATGGTCATACTGCCAGGGATTGCATGGAAAGAAATAACCCTGAAGCATTACAACAAGCAAAACAAAGAGATCAAAGGTTAGATAATGAATATTTGAATTTGATGGCTGAGTTAGGTGAAAACATTGGATCCAAAACTAATGAAACAACTGGAAAAACTGTAAAAATTTTCTATACGCCAATCTCTTTTGTTGTTATTTTTTTTTTTGCGATTTAAAACTTATTTATTTATTTATTTAAAAAATAGGGCCATTACGGGCCCGCAACTACAAGTAAGCCACCATGGGCACAATCTAACGCAACTAGTGGAACCACTACAACACATTGGGCTTCAAAATCTTCAACACCAACTTCAACTGGGGTCCACACAGGATTATCATCTATTCCTCCCTGGCAACAAACAGCATCAACTACAATTCCTCCTCCACCCGGTAAAGTTTTTAAATATAAATAAAATACATTTTTCTAAATTTTGATTGATAATTACGTTTTATGGTTTTTTTTTTGTTAAAACAAAAAATTTGTTTAAATCAGGCTTAAGTAATGCACCACCACCACCAGCATTGTCATTAAATAATACACCGTGGAACACTGCTAAAACTACCAACACCATATATGCGCCGCAACCTCCACAACCTCCACCCCCACCTGGTTCACTATATCCTACTGCACCGGCTCCAACTTCGACCTCATATTATTCACTTACATCTACAAATACAGGTTACACTTATCCTGCTTATGCTAATACTAATTATGTTACTGCCTATGGGGCAACTTATTCTGCCGCCGCCGCTGCTGGATATCCACCTCCTCCTCCGTTGCCACCACCACCACCACCTCCATCAAATACTGCCCCATCAGCACCAAAGTGATGATTTTTTTAAAAAATAAATTTAATAAATAAAATAAATGAGAATGCTAACTTATGTTTCGTGTTTGATTTTCTAAATAATTGGCCAAAGTTCGACAAACTATATTTACTACATATATATATCGTTAACAGGAATTGTTTAATATTTAATTAATTATTTTGAAAATTTTATACTATTTTTTTTTAATTTATCAAGTATTATACTAATTTAATACATTATATTATATTATTTAAAAAAATCAATCAATATCCATACATAATAAACCCGGGGAAAAATAAAATAAAACATTTGAACATTTGCAAAATACATATAAACAAATTAATTACACAATAAATTAAAAAAAAAAAATAATACATATAAAACAGTTTATAATGAAATGAATGAAAATAAATAAAAAAATTATTTTCTATGATATATATAAAGAAATATTATTATTCAAAAAAAATTTTATTATTATTATTATTATTATTACCATCATAGATCATTCAGTGAGTGTGTTTTGTACATCTTCACCTTGTTCCAATAAACTAAAAATAAATAAATAGATAAATAGTCAAATTCTAAAGAAGCGAAAGGACAAATAATAAAAATAAGATGTGGTTGAATATTTTTTCAATTACCTGTATTGTTTAAGTAACGTGCATTCACCTCCATTTTCAAGATCTATATTATATTGATAGAAAAACCCATCTGAAGTGACTACCATGACCTGTGGTGCATTACTACAAAAATTTTATAATCCCATGAATAAACTTTATGTATATAGTATAATAAATAAATGGAAAACTTACGTGCTTAATGCAACTACACTTTGAACACCGGAACTTGGTAATTTTAAATAAGCAAAATCTCTGGCAGGTTCCCACATTTCAGTAAGAGCATCAGGAAGGTAATTACCAACACTACCAGCAACAGTACGTCCAAGATGAAGCGAAGAACGTCTTATAGTACCACTAATTTTACAAGTATAAATATTTATATATATATATATATATATATATATATATATATATATATATTTACAAAATTTTTATCATTCATAATATATAATACATACCCGACTGTAGTAGTCTTTTTCTTTCCATCAATAAAAGCTTCATAACCTCCTATTGTAGTATTACCAACGGAATGACGTGCACCGGTTGTAACAGCTGCTCCGTTAGCAACACCATTGCTTGAATTTGCATTAGCAACAGGGTTTCCATTATTCCCAGTTAATTTGAAAATATGTACAGTGTCGGTATCACTTGACACACACAATAATGTGCTTACAATGTTAAACGAAATGGAGTGTATGCGGGCTGGGTATGAGCCACGCCTAAATTGATGAAGTTTTTGTGCATTTGGAATGGAAAATACTCGAATGACAGTACCCTAAATTTTTAATCGCAATCAAAAAATAATTTTTTTCCAAAGAAAAAAATTAATTATTACTGTTTACAATTAATTTATATATATGTGTGTGTACCTTGTCACTAGCAGTTGCCAACAAAGTCGCTTCTGAATTGATAGATACACATGAAACAGGGCTTTTATGTGCTTGGACGATGTTGACAACTTGTTGTTGTACGGCATCAAAAATCAAAACATCACCAGATGGGGATGGTTGTTGTGAGCCATGGCTGGAAAATAATGAAGATGGTGGTGGAGCGGGTGATGGATAAGCTATATAACAATTATCATTGCTTGATGATGATAAAGCACAAATTGCTATTGATATGTAAAGTAGATGTAAATAAGTATGATAATAATATAACAAAAAAAAATAATGATAAGTTACCATTTGGATTAGGACTAGTTTCAATTGTGTGCAATAATTTCATATTACTAATATCGTAAACAAAGATCGTTTGTTCCAATACAACAATCAATCTACGACGATTAAGTTTAACGGCAAGAATTGAAGTGTTGAAAGTAAGTTCACATATTGTTGATTGTCGCTTTAATTTCACAATTTTTTTTTGGAAAAAATAATAAAGTTAATATCTATAAAAATTTAAACAAAATCAAAACTATAATAATAATAATATGAATATTTATTAACCTTAGTATTAGTAATTTGTAAACGTCTCGGAGAAAATGAAGGATGTTCGCCAGCCCCGACTAAAGCAACTAACGATGTACAAAATAACATTTCAACTATTCCAATACCGCCATCAGCTATGTTTTATGATACAACATATTATTATTTGTATAAATCAAATTTTTTGTTAGATCTAGCGGAAATTATGGTAAACATGTTCTCTAATAATCGTTCATTTTAATAATGAGTATTACAGGTATTGTTCCCAAAAAAGAACTGATACTTACATTTTGAATAACATTTTCCAAATGGCTCGCAATTATATATCTTATATCCATTTTGCGTGCCAACAGAAATACAACTTAATTTTTTTTTGGGGGGGGAGTTTTTAATTAAAAAAAATATATATATATCAGCAAACAATGAATTACAATTATCAACAACAGTTTTTGTTTCTTAATCAAATATTTTTCAAAAATAAAAAATAATGAGCATTAGAAGCAATAAAAAAAGAGGTGGAATGAAGGCGTGTACATATGGGTTGTGGAAAATTTAAGATCAAAACAGCACTTGTCAAAAACAAAAACAGTTAAACTTACCTAAAATCTTGATTGAAGTTAATGAATAATAATTCATTATTCCCTTTTTCACTAAGATTCATTTTGAGTATGTATAAATATTGTAAATTTTTATTGTTAATTGAAATGACAAGTTTATTTGTATTTTTTTTTTTTTGAGCTAAAAATTAACAGAAAAGAAAATAATATCGTAGCCAATTATTGCTAAGCCACCAAATGTATGCTGCGTTGGTTAAAATTGATAATGTTAAATGTCGATTTTTACTCCCCGTAAATAGCTTTTATTATGATTATAAATTATTAATATATGCGTATACAAAATAAAAGAACTGGTTGTTTGAATATTAAAAAAAAATTTTATTTGTTAAATTTTAAATTTTTTAATAATTGTGTTGATGGTTCAATATACACCCAAACCTTTTCATGTCCTGCCTGGGATGGTTTTTCTAATACATTATTATTCAAGTACAATTTGATACTTCAGGGCAAAATAATTTTTTTTACACATTGACATGATGAAAGCACGCATCTGAAACTTCTTGCCTTAACAATACTGATTCTAAGGTTATCATGTTACCAAATGGTAATGTATTAAGATTTGTAGTTTTTTCATACCAACTTGGGTGGGATGTTTAATTATCACATGATTTATTTGGATCAATATTAGTTGTTGATAATTTTTACATTCTTGTAAATAACAAGAGGATCTGTTTTTGTGTCCTTTTTCTTTTAGAAAAGTATTAACAATTTGTTTATTGATTCCAATACAAGACCACATTTTAATCATGTGGTGTTTTTATATGATAAGGAATTATTTGCAATAATATTTAATGAATGTTTGGCTCCCAAAGTATTTTTCTTAGAAATTGGGACTATCATTCTCTGTAATCTTTTGAAATCACATTCATTGCTTTCTTCTTTTGGCCATGATGAGAAGTGTGAAGAGTGTGAAGATGAAGAATGAACAATCAAAAAACAATTGTGTTGATAACCTTCCGTATTTTCATCAAATCACTGCTCAATTCATATATATGTGCATTCTTTTTACACAAATTATTACTCAAGATAGTTAATTTTGATTTTGAAAAAATAAGTAGGTAACAAATGGGACATGTTGCAACAAAACCAGACAAAGTGAACATTGGTGTTGCCAAGAATTTCAGGGATCAAAATTTAGTAATGTGATTATTAAAATCTCCCATCTGCTATCTTTGTTAAATGGCATATAGAACTACTCCTATATAAAAATAATAATATTAATAATAATATGATGGAAACCCAAGGGCGATCCTTCCTTTTTTCAGATAAATCATCTGCTGGATAAGAAATTGATTGTCCTAATTCATATATGTTTAATCTATGATTTAAGATCTTTTTCCATGATCCCATTTCACAATATTTATACATTAAAATTCTTCTTTCTTAACAAATAATTTATTTATGCAATCAAGATCAATAAAATATGTAAAGTTTCATTAATTATTTTCAAGATCCACATATGATTTCAGATGCATTTTCTTGATGCAGAAAAGAGATAACAAAACATTTGAAAAATTTACAAATGTGTTTTTTATATTACTATATTGATTGACTATTGTTATTAAAAAAAAAAGGTAGATGTTGAAATAGAAAATTTTATTTTACTGGCTGCTATCAAATTTATAAATTTAAAGCAAGTGTTGTTTATGTGTGTAAATAAACTATCATTTGGTGGATTTGATTGGTGAGCTCCATTCATTATCATCTTGTCAACAAACTTTGCAAAGTCCAAGTGGTGCAAAATGGCTGGAATACTTGGAATCTGGTTTTTTTCACAGAAATTCAAAATCAATCCATCATATTTCTTTTTACAATATTTTAAGTGTTTACTGAATCTTGATGGTGCTGGAATGGCTTCTACACACTTTGTAATTTTTATCAAATCATTGTATGAACAATTGTATTTGCTCTTTGATGCATTATCTCTTTCTGTGACAAATAAATAATGAACAAGGGAACACAGAAGAATAGAAGAAAAAGGTATATTTAGTCAATGTTACAAACAATAATCAAATGTTTCAACACACAACCAACATTTTTTGTTGTAAGATCTTTGCCTCACTTGTTTTTTAATTTCTTTTTTAATCCTTTGGTCTCAATCTCTGGCTTCCAAATGGTCACACATTTGTTTTCCTATAGGTCAAAAATTATATTAATATTAAAAAAGTCAGTCTTACCCATTTGGAGAATATAATTTAATTACTATTTACTTTATCATCAATTTTAATTTCATCACAAAAAAAAATAATGAACTAGAGTGACAAGAAATTGCAATCACATTGCAACCACTACCATTCTTTTAATAATGAACTAGAGTGACAACAAGTGGTGATAACCACCACCACCACCATTCTTATGATAAACCATAAATTTTTTCTACTTCTTTATCTTTATTTCTTTTGTTATCTGATCTTTTGTCTTTGGCATTTTTTTATTAAAAAAGAAGAGACAAGAATTGTTATTTATTGACAAACATGTCATTAATTATTTATTATTGGCACTTGGTGTTGTACAGGTTTTTTTTTGTGTTGATGTGCGATTGATTTTTTTTTTGGAAAAACAATCTTATTTCTCAAAGATGACAAAATGCAAGTGATATTGTTTAGCATGATTGGTTCTGAAAAGAGACATGTTAATAACTAACCAGAGGTAACTTTTTTTTAATTTGCATTGATATGTCTTTAAATCAAAATGCGGAGCAGATCATTGCTGGGGTAATTATAAGGTCCTTATCAAAATGTAAGGAGCAATTTTCTCACCTTGTTCCTTTTTCAAATATTTCTGATAGTACTATAATTCTTGGGTTCCATGGTAGACCTAATGTAAATTAGCTTCATATTAATTATTTTTATATAGGGGGTAGTTCTATATATCACTTAACAAATGAGGCATTATAAAACTGTTAATTATGATCACATTACAAATGACTAAATTTTGATCCCTGAAATTCTTGGTTATACCAATTTTCACTTTGTCTGGTTTTGTTGCAGCATTCTCCAAATAATGTATAGAGTTTCAGATGAGAATGGTGGTGGTTATTTAGTAAAACAAAGATTTATATAAATTGAATAATTTAATAAATCAAATTTAATTCTATTCACCTATTCTATAACATTATCTGGTATTCTCCTGTGAGATTCTTAACAGCATATTCCACTGATTCCTTTTCTATAAAGGTCCATATAGTACCAATACTTTCTTGAAAATTTCTAATTGTCACTAAAGATACTGACTCAAGACTCTCAGGTACCATTTTTAGTAATCCTTGCCAAGAATAACCACGATTTTATTTTCTGCATTTCTTGATTGATCTCTATATTGTCTTTTTCTTTTAGGAGGAGGTAATAAAAATAATAAAATATTCATTTATTGTTATTGTCCAGAATGTTTCACGTGATAAAATGATCAACAAATAGGTAATGATCAGCATCCAAAATTTGAAAATATTAATAAAGCTGATTATTTTTAAGCACTATCAGCTTCCCAAAAAGTTATGCAACCAAAAAATTTAATCTGTGGGATCAAAAGAGAATCATTTAAGCTATTATTTGCACAGTTTATTTTTTAAAAAATTTTCAAAATTAGTAGACTAGTTACAGCTAGAAGTCATTTGAAAATTTTGGATGAGTATAGGTGGTATGCACCATATTCAACAAGAAGGATTACATAAAATTTAGTCAATCCAGAAATTTCAGAACATTTATTACTTATAAATGAGAAAATACCATTTATGGCATATATGTGGTAGAAATAGATTGATCACTTGACTAAATCAGGCAAGCTTTTTGATGCAATTAATAAATAATTGTCAGTCACAATCAAAAGTTGAAATTTTGGAATTGAGTCAAATCCAAATTGATTTTGACAACATGTATAGTCCAAATTCTCAAAAATGGGATTAGATTTAGATGTACACTATATTAAATTTGTATATAATTAATAATTTATTTCTTTTGAAAAAATAAAATTTAATATGTGTATATTAATTATGATTTTATAATTTGCTTTTTAATAATTTATTTTTTTCAATAATTTCCAATGCTATTAAACTTATAGGTTTAAACATTCTAGCATAATTTTGTGCTTCACTAGAACTAGCTTGTTTATGTGCAATACGTGCAGCAATACCTTGTGTGATTACTGCCAACTTTGAAAATAAACAAATTTAGAATATAAATATAATATGTAAATATTAGAAAAATAAAAACCTAACTTACTCTAAAAAATGAAAACACTATGGCGTACTCAAAGTTTGGTATTGGAAATTTTCTTTTTGTTTTAATACAATATTCATATATTAATTCATCTGCTGAAGGGATAAGTAAATTAGGTACATCCTTTAATCCAATTAAAGGTTTTACAGCATTTTCAGATACATAAAACTGCATCAATAAATTTGCTAAGTCTGATAATGGGTGACCAATTGTAGAAAGTTCCCAATCTAATATTCCAATAACATGTGATTCTGTTGGATGAAAAACCTATATCATATAAAATCAAGTGAATCAAATTCATATATAATATATATATATACACATAAGATATAATTTTGTAAAATTACAATATTATCCATCTTAAAAAATAAAAATAAAAAGAAAAATGTTAATATGATGATTAAATAATATATTTATTTGCTTATTTGATAATTTGTACCTTAAAGTCACCATGTAAAATTGTTGCTTCATCAGGAATTTCATTATTTTTAAACCACTTGATCATTTCATCAAGTCCTGGAAGAGCACCCACTTCATTTCCATCTTCATCTACCACAGCAGCTTGAGCTTTTGATACTTTGAGTAGTGAACGAACTTGTCTAGAATAAAATTCAGATGACTTTCCATAATCACCCAGTCCTATTGCTTTATAATCAACTGAATGTAATTTAGCAAGTGTGTTGACCAAAGAAAACCAACTATAAATAAAAAAATAAATATTTGGAGTTTTTTGAACTATAAATAGTAATGATAATATAAAATAAACAAAAAAAAATTTTACCAGTTCTTTCTTTCATTTGGAGAAAGTGATAAAAGTCTTACATCCTCAAAAATCCTACCATTTAAAAATTCCATTACCTATCAATTATTAATAATACATGTATAAGCAATTTATTAAATTAATTTATTGAATATAAAAAAATATTATGATAATTAATTACATAGAATGGTGTCCCAATTATTTCATTATCTTTGCAAAGAAGATAAACCTTAGGCACTGGTACATCGGTATACTTTCCTAAAGCATCAAGAATATGAAACTCACGTTCAACAGCATGTGCAGTAGTTGATAATAGTTTTCCTGGTGGTTTTTTTCGTAGTACATATCGTTTTTGACTAAATATTTCATATTCATTATTAATATATACTATTCATTACAAAAAAAAAAATCACTTGCTATAAACACACACACATATATAATATCATATAATCTTACTTTGCATCAATTAGGAGATATGTGGGGTTGCTTTGACCAAATTTGAACTGTTGAGTTTCTATTGGTAACTTAATTTCAGGAATTCTTGAAGCTAAATAAGACGTCAAATTGGGAATATCTATTTCTTGTCTATATTGTTTAGATACAATTTAAAGAATTAACAAACAAACAAATAACATACATTAAATTATTGTTTAAAGTCACCTGATTATAGTTGTTGCTTGGGCATTATTTAGTTTTGTCATTTTTGTCTGATGAGATGATCATTGAAAAAAATGATTTTTTAATCGGAAATAAAAAAAAATTATTTTTTACTCTGTCAAATGCAAAAGGAATATTATGGTAATTATATATATAGTATGGTATGATAATTTTATAGTGATATTAGTGATTCATACATTAAAAATAACTGAATACAGTTATTATGGCGAACAATTTATTATTGAGAAATTAAAAACTATGAAAAAACCAATTATTTTAATATTTAGCAAGGTAAAATAATATTTAGGAATGTTATATATATGGGGCATACTGCAACAAAACCAAACAAAGTGAACATTGGTATTGCAAGGAATTTCAGGGATCAAATGAGGGAACTAAAATAGAGGTTCCACATAAAGTCTAGGAAGATGAAGAAATTTGTCATTAATTAATATAAATGAGCAGGATTTAATTTAGTAAAAACAGATAAATATCAGATGTCTACCTATTTATATAACTATTCCTGTTAATCACATTTTTTCTTTTTTTATGATGCTCATGCATACATGTATATAAAATCCACCATATTTGTAATTTAAATTTTAATTAAAAAGAATAAAACTAATATTTGTATATACATGACAAATAATCAAAAGGTTCTTCATGTGAAAGAGTGAGCATTTTGAACAATTGAATTACTCTCTTTCCACAAGATCAAAATAAACAATATAAATATAATTTCCTCATATCTTTCTATCTACTCTCAATGCATCATGGGATCTTTTAATGTTCTAATTTACTATTATTTGTGCAACAATTCAAGGTTTATGTTTTTCCTTAGTGTTTGGGTTCAATTCTGCGATCTCACATGGTAGTAAATGATAAACATTAAAAATGTTTCAGGATAATTAATTAAGCAACTATTATAATAATGTTTATTTTTTAAAATGGCAATTTTCATATAATATTAAATCAATTAATATATAGATAATTAAATCCAATCAAGGTTTCTAGTTCTAGATCTGGAACAAGATCTGGATGAATGAATTGGAGTTATAAGTGTGCTAAAATGACTTGCAACATGATACATTTCTAAATTTTGTTCCTCTATTGTATATTTTTCAGTTGATCCTTCTTGTTCTTCTGGTTTTCCTTCACTATCATCATCATCATCATCAAATTTGTATTTTTGCTTTAACAATTCAATGTTCTTTTTTATATATTTTTTTATAAAATATGATTTTTCAAAAAATTCAATAAATGATGATTTGCTGCATGTTGTGAACAATGGTATTTTGATTTTTACTAGAGGGATTCGACTAAAGACTAGTGCTGTAAATTATGAGGATGGTAGTAATTGTATTTACAGCATATAAAAAGTGGTTGCAATTACCTTTGCAACCATACTTTTTCCTTTTTTGGATTACAGCACTAGTCTTTATAGTGATGGAAGTCATGATGATAATGAAGGTCATGTTAAGAAGATAAAGATCATTAGTAATAATAGTGAAGAAGAATCAGTGGAAGGGGAAGAAATTTACTTTAAAAATGAACATGTTGCAGTAGAAGTAATAATTGAAGAGTTGGAAATTTTAAATGAAGGCGAGGATGTTGGTGGTGGTGATAACTAAAGACTAGTGCTGTAAATTATGATGATATTTATGGCATATAAAAAGTGGTTGCAATTACCTTTGCAACCATACTTTTTCCTTTTTGGATTACAGCACTAGTCTTTAGTGATAACAAACGAAGACCAAGAAAGTGGGTTGGAAAATCCTGGAGAAGTAAGAACCACCACTTCTTGGAATAAAAAGTGGTCAGAAAAAGAGATAATAATTCTTTTAAAACATGTCTTTAGCAAAAAATTAAGTTGTATTGAACTTCAACATATGGGAATACTAAGAAAAAGCCAATCCATCACATTAAAGTGGAGATCAATGAAGCAGAAGATAAAAAAATTATTTGATGTTAATTTTTAAATTGGATTTTATTTACTAATTTGATATTACTTGGACAAATAAACAAAATAAAATATTTGCAAAAAAAAATTTTTTTAACATTTCTTTTTCTCCATTTGCTGTGCTCCTTTCACACATGTGTCACCGGAATTAGATTTGGACGCTCTTTTGGCCGAATTTAACTAATTCCGAATTTCTTAATTTTTATTATTATTATATTTTATTTATTTCTATTTTTATAATCTTATTTTCTTAATTTAGTATTATTTTTATCCGTATTACATCTATTTTCG